GGAGTTGGGGTTGTTCAGCCTGGAGAGAGGAGGCTCTGGGGGGACCTTATAGTGACCTTCAGCACTTGAAAGGGGCCTCCATGAAGGTGGGGGAAGGTCTGTTCAAAAGGGTTTGTAATGGCAGGACAAGGAGTAATGGTTTTAGACTAGGAAAGGACAGATTTAGACTGGATATCAGAAAAAAGTTCTTTAATATAAGGGTGATAGATCACTGGAATGGGCAGCCCAGAGAGGTGGTGGAGGCCCCAGCCCTGGAGTCATTCAAGGTCAGGCTCCACAGGGCTCTGGGTGACCTGATGTAGGTAGAGGTGTCCCTGCTTGTGTAGGGAGGTTGGACCAGATGACCTCTAGAGGTGCCTTGCAGACTCTAACATTGTAAGAAATATGTTATTTAGGAGGGGCAGCTCACATGGCTGAAAAAACCACCTCAGGCAGTCACAGAGAAGTGGCCTGTCACCCCAGGGTCTGGCACACCATGGAGGACACAAGATCTGCTTGTGAAGCAATGGAAAAGCCCTAGAAAGAAGTGCCAAAAGAAGACATCCTATCAGCTGCCTCTCTGATGCAGGAAGAGGACTCTGGAACAATGGTGATTCCTTTAGGGTGTATCAGGGCACCTAAACACGTCATCAGTGGCAACATTCACTATTTCTTGTTCCTTATTGCTGTTCAAGTGCAATGAATAAAGGCTGCCATAGCTGGACAATGTCCAGCCCTATGTTTGGAGATACAGCCTACTTCTAGCCAGCTAAAGTCAGCATTTCTCTATATACATGAGTCAAAAAACACCAATTCCATAGTTGTCAGAAGGAATCACAGCCTTTGGGAAAGGTGAAACTAGCAGGCTGTGAAGAATGAATTAAACACCTTTGAGATGGGGAAAATAAGGCAATTTAGAAACCTTTAAATTAGAGCAGTGAGCCGTTCACATGCTACAGCCTCCCTTGCTGCAAGTGGCAGTGCTAAGCAGTTACCATTCAACTCAAAAGAATTCTGTTACGTGGAAAAAATAATTCTGTGAGATGTTTGAAAACTCCCTAACCTGTGTGAGCTTGTCCAGTTCCCCCAGCCAGGCCCCAAACATCTTGTCCAGATCCTGATCTTCCTTATCACTGTCTTCTTCTGCACCATGGTCAAGTTCTTCATCTGATAATTGCTCCATCTGAAAACAAAAACAAAATAAAACCCAATAAATAGAAGTTTGATACTCAAATTGTATCAGTGTCTAAGAAAACTGGTGTCAGTCACCAGGTTTCTTAAAAAGTGTTCTGACATCAGTGTTCACATGTAAGTCCACAAGCTTTATAACATGCATACAACCACAAGTTATTCTGTTCAGAAGGAAAGAGAAAAAGAGTGAGTGTGGAAGCTACAACAAATAATTACAAAGCCATTCTTGCAGCTCATTTTTGTCAGAACCATGATGAAAAAGACTGAAGAACAGAGTCCACAATATTTAATACACCATCAAAAATCATTTCATGCTAGCCTTGCAGATGCATTGATTGCCAGCAATTGTTGGCAAAGTCTATTGACTTTACAAAAATTCAACTCTTGTCCAAGGAATTCAGCTGACCACAGTTAAGCAACACCATTCAACCCACAGGAAGTGCAGTCTCACTGCACTGCAAAGAGCTGACTCTACAGATCTGTACACAGAAATGCTAAACAGGCTACACAGGATGCCAGCAGCACCTCACATGAAACAGCTCAAACCCTGGACACTGTCCAGATCACTTCAGTGATACTGCACTGTTTGACCCAACAAAGATACTCCTCCCTGGAAGCTAAGAGTTACCACTACAGCTATCAGACCCTCCTTCATTTGATAAATTTAAGTGACCAAGATAAATATTTGAGATTCTCCAAAGGTTATCTGTTATTACCTCAAAGGAAATTAATCTTCTGTTAAACAAGTCTCTGTTCCCTTCCCCAAACCTGTCCTCACAGCCCTTTATGTGGAGCTAAGACACACATGCCTTCCTGGGTACATCCACACTGCTTAAACCCCAGAGCTGGTTCAGAATGAAAATGCACATACCTGAGGGGAAAAATACACAGGCAACAATTTGGAAATATCAGGAACTACAGAAGAGTAAATCCTAGAGGTGTGCTACAGAACGTGAAGGGAGACACAAGAACAGATCCCCAGCAAGAGCTACACAGAAATCCACAGGGTGCCACACCACTTGATTTGTCAAGTTATGGGCTGTGTAGTCATTCACTACACAGCTTTCAGAAAGCATTAGTTCACATTTCATAGATTTAAAAGCAAACTTTCTAACTGATGGTCTTCAGGAAAAGCCAAATCTTAGTCTGAAAGACACCAGAGCGTTGCAAAGGTGAACTGGTGAGAGGAGCTACAAAAGATGATAAAGATCATCCCACAGAAAAACTGTTCAACCCAGTTTGAATTTATATGACAACAGTTCATGCAAAAAAACTGCCATGTTTTAAAAACATTTTTTTCTTCTATTTGCCTGTATGCCACTCTACCTTGATTAAATAACCAGAGGACAGGAGATGTTAGAGCTGCTCTACAGTTCCGAGATCAGCAGACGCAAGGTGCTGCCATCCAGCTGCTCCAGGCAAAGCCCTTTCAGCCTCCCACTGAGATTTTCCTGTTGTGGGGAAGCACAATGCAGCTGCTCACCTTGAAAGGGGCAATCACAGTAAATTAACCTGGCATGGCACACTGCACTGAGCAAACCCTGAACAGATGAAATTCACCATCTGCATCTCATTTCTTCCAACACTTGTTTTGAGTCGAGTACCAGCACTCCAGGGAAGGGAAGGAAGCTCCACCTATAATCTAAGAGTGATGCTGAAATCCAAAAACTGCCAAAATTCTTCTGTCCAAGATGGCACCAGTTTTTATGCTCTGTAAGTCAGGTGTGCCTCCCCCTGCAAGATTCCTCTCGGGGAGCAACCTGAAAGTCAGTGGAGCAGCAGCAACTCACACTCTGCCTGAACTGCTGCAAAACAAACAGAAGCTGGATTCCACTTTCAAGCCCCTTCAAAGCTTTGCTTTTCCATAGACCAGAAACAGTAAATTCACAACAAAACACATTATACTTAATGTGACAAGTGCCAAGGTCAAACTGCTGTGACTGCTCACAAGGGACAGCACAGCATTTCTCAATGCCTACGTACACTTGGAGTGAAGAATTTTTATTTGAAGGCTAAAGGAAGCTACTAAAAGCATGCCTTAGGAAATAGGACTATGAAGTGGCAAATCAAATAAATGGAAATTGTGATAGAAGCCAGACAGAGCTTGGTATTTACAGATACTTTACACTACTGGCCTTCCCCTCTCAGCTATTTTTGGCACTTAACTCTACAGTTCAATGGCACTTGTTTTGTAGTGCATTCTATGGCACTGTTCATGACATTCTTTCATTAAGAGAGGAGCTCATTCTTTTTACTAATATTTCAGAGGATCTAAGTTGTGGAAAGAAACCAGAATTCTCAATTCCCCATAAACTGTTGCTTTAGCTATTTTAACTTGGCATGAGAGTCCCTGCTTTGGTTCCAGTTACTCAGAAGACAGAATTAGCAGCCTACAGAAAAGTTTTACAAGTAAAGTACTGTTGTGTTAGTGAGTCTGGCACTAAACCTTGGAGTATTTGCCAGCTCCTTGTAGTCCCCACCCAAGCTTCCTAACGTCAGCTGCATTTCCTATGAGGCTGTCAGCGTGTGCTTGCAAAAGGCACACAGAGGATAGTGTCTCACTTCAGAAACAGCTAATATTAACTGCTGGCTCTGGAAAAGGCATCTCCCTCAGCACAAGGTCCACTGCTGGAAGAAGATATCCTAAAGGATGCTAATTAAGGATTAATTCAATAAATTAAGGCAAGAGACAAGATGCTCAGATAACAGTATCTGAACTTTTTGACTTAAGTACTCAAAACAGTAACAACTCAAAAAGAGTGCACATTCCAAGTAAAGTGCTTGAAATGTTCTTTTTTCACAGCTATTTTCTGTCTCAGTGTCGTTGATCACAGCCAACATGCATCAGACTTCAGCAAATAATGATGTAATGTGGAGTTACCACACCTTTCTAAGGATATAACATTTTTATTTATAACAAGAAAGAAAAAAGGTGTAAGTTTAAGGGCTGGGGGGGTTTCTTTTGTGTATGTTTTGTTGCATTTGTTTTTTAAAGGAATCAGAATTTAGAACTAAATTAGACCTAAGAGACTGAAAAGGAGTTACTGTTCTAGTGTGACACCACAAAATAAGCCACTTCCATTCCTAAAGCATTTTCAGGGTAGCAGAGTTTAAGTAGCTGTTGCTTCTGCTTAGCTCAGGTCAGAGGAGGTGCCCAAGAAATTTCAGTATTCAAGTTATTTTTCAATACTTCACCTTCTATTCTGTTCAGGTGTATGGTTCAGAATAGAACTTAATGAAAATGAGCAGCATCATTTTGTTATCCACTATGGACTGCCTGAGTCAACTTCAGCTGTTTGAAATGCTATTTAAACAGGAATACACATAATCACCCTACTCAGCTGCCTAGTTTCCAAGAACAGCTCATTAGGTTTGTTCTCCTTTAAATGAAGCACAATATTCTAATATTATTTTATGAAAAAAAACCTGAGAATTTCATTAAAAGTCACCAGTTAATCAGAACCTACTACTTTAATCACACCGTAAAGAAAAAACTTAGCAACAATTTAGGAAAAAAAGAAATCTGTATTTCAAGCTGATTCTCACACAAGCCATTGTAGCTTGTCACGTGTCAGGACAAGCATGAGATTATGTGATAGCAAAAAAAGCCCCAAAACAATGCTTCAAATATGCCATTTTGACGTATCCAAGAAAATCACAGAATTCTGAAACTAACAAATTGCTGCCACCAGAAAGCAACAGCTTTGGGACAGATTTTATTTACAATAAAAAGTGTACATAGTGTCTTTCAGAGACTTCATTCTGCAGACTCCCACTTTGAGATGGTAGCTCCTACCTGAAACCAACTGAATTAAAGACAGTAGGAAAAGCTGGTGTATAAACAGTATTTCCTCATAATGAAAACACTCTGCACTGAAAAAGAAGTGGTTGTAAAAGAATCAGACTGCAGGATTTGTCTGCTCTGCACTTAATTAAGGAGGGAAAGATTATCAGAGAGGCAAAAACAGAATTCTGAGTCCAACTGGAAATGGCAGAGTGCTCAAAGGGTCAGTAATAAGAGTGTTTATTCACTGTCATTTCAGAAGCAGTGTAATAAGCATTTTGAGCTAGAGATCCTTAAGTATTTACAAAGGCAGCTGACAGCATAAAACCCCAAAACAAAAAGAAACCAACTTTCTTCCAGGCAACTGGTGTTTTCACACTCAAACTTTCATATTATTTAAACACAAGCTTGTACAAACTCATGCTTGTTACTGAACTAAGGATTTTCTTCCTAAAAAGCACAACGATGGAATTGGTTATAGATCTATTATAGGGATGCAACAGACAACACACAAACGTTCAAAACATCACCTGAACAAATAACTGCATTTCTAGGTTTTAAAATCTAGCCTCAAGAACCAGAGGGAACTATGTAGCATACTCTGGTTTAGAAAACATGCCCTGGAGCTGGTTTTGAAAGCAGAGTTCCTCTTCCATTTGTGATCAGCCACGTGTGCCCATGCCAGGATCCACTGCTGTTCAAGAGGTGGTAGGTGACAGAAAGCTGCAGTGGTGTCTTACAGCAGCAGGTAAGCACAGTGTACACACATAAATACAAGAGTAAGAGTCTAGCAGGTTTTTACCTTTAACACTCATTCATCTGACTGCTTAAAGAAATCAGGCTCACTACACAGGAAAAGAATTGAAATGCTTTCACAGAACTGACAGGCAAAGCTCACATCCATGTTGCTACACACTTCCATGAAGTTCTGGTAAATAAGGAAAGGTGGCTTTAGCACATAAATTATTTATTTCATATCAACACTATGTCCACGTGCCAGGGACCAATCAAACCCAGCATGTTTTTCAGCAAAAAGAGTCTTACTCTACAACTGAAACGAACATTTCTCCTTTGAATTTCACTAAGCCAACAACACAGTGCAGATCATTTGCTTTAGTATTTCCATGTTTCTCCTTCATAAGCATAAAACATTCTGAAATTAACCACTCCTGAAAAAAGAGAATTGGAGGGGGATTAGAAAGTTCTGG